AGATTTATGCAGATTTGAATGTTCGTGATGTTGCATTCATGGTTGGAGAGCGGGTCTTGCTCCCGGTTTTGCCTATGAAGGGTGTTATGAGGTTCGGAAAGAAGGGCAAGCTGAGCCCAAGGTTTATTGGTCCCTTTTAGGTATTGCAGCGAGTTGGGAGGTTGCTTATAAGCTTGCCTTACCTCCCAATCTAGTAGGAGTCCATCCGGTATTTCATGTTTCTATGCTCCGGAAGTATCACGGCGATCCATCTCATGTGTTGGATTTCAGCTCAGTCCAGTTGGACAAGGACCTATCTTATCTTGAGGAGCCAGTGGCTATTTTGGATAGGCAGGTTCGAAAGCTGAGGTCAAAGAACATTGCTTCGGTGAAGGATCAATGGAGATGTTAGCCGGTCGATAGGCAACTTGGGACATCGAGCATGATATACACAGTTGTTATCCTCATCTTTTCACCACTTCAGGTATGTCTCTATACCCGTTCGAGGACAAATGATTGTTTTAAGAGGGGGAGGATGTAAAGATTTGGCCGGTCATTTTGAGTGTATTAGCCCCGATCCCCTAACTACTGCTTTCCTCGTATCTTTTTCTGCTTGTGTGACTTGCGGGGAGGTTGTTGTCCTGGTTTCGGAATGATATGAGATACTTAGTACCTAAAACAGAAGCTTAAGTCTTACAATTTTTAGTCGTAGTCGGAACTGTGTGAAGACGACTGCCGAATGGAGTTTCATCAGTTCCGTTAGATCTGTTGGGTGATTTTACACTTAGGAGCGCGTCCCGATTGTTAATTGGAGGTCTGTTGCTGATTTAGGCTCAAAATGGCAAAAGTCAAATTTTTGGGAAGTTTGACCGGTATTGGACTTTTGATATTGGGGTCGGATTCTGATTACGGAAGTTAGAGTAGGTCTGTAGTGTTGAATATGACTTGTGTTCAAAATTTCAGGTCAATCGGATGCGGTTTGTTAGGTTTCGGCATCGGTTGTTGAAATTTTTGAAGTTTCAAGTTCATTAAGTTTGGATTGGAGGGCGATTCGTGTTTTTGTTGTTGTTTGATGTATTTTGAGGGCTTGACCAAGTTTGTATGGTGTTTTAGGACTGGTGATATGTTTGGTTGAGGTCACATGGGCCTCTGGTTGATTTCGGGTGGTTAACAAATCATTTTGGACTTAGGAAAGATTGCAGATTTTCTGAAGTCTCGAGTTCCGGTTTCCTTCTTCGCGTTCGCGAGGGAAGTCCCGCATTCGCGAAGAGGAGCTGGAGGCAAGAGGAAGATTTCTCTTTGTGTTTGCGAAGTGGGGGCTGCGTTCGCGAAGGTTGGTTCAAGCAGTGCATCGCGAACGCGTGAAGGGCATTGCGTTCGCGTAGAGGAAGTGGAGCGGCTAGGACCCTAGGGCCTCGTTCTACGCATTTGCATGGTGGAGACCGCGTTCGTACAAGGGCAGCCAGTGGAAGCTATGCGTTCGCGAGAAGACACTCGCGTTCGCGGAAGAGGAATTTTGGTCAGTGAATTTTTGTTCTATGCAAACGCGAGGGCGTGGCCGCGTTCGCGAAGAAGGAATGCCTGGGCAGTATTAAACATTTCAAAATCGAGGGTTTGGCCATTTTTATCAAAACATTAAGTAGAGAGCTCGAATTTTGACGAAATTTCCAGGAATTTTCAGAGACATCGATTGGGTAATGATTCTACACTTGATTTTTGTTATATCCCACTAATCTATCATTATTTCCATCCTTTAATTTCGGATTTGGGTTGAAAAATTTTGGGAAAAATATGAGAAGTTCTTCAACTAAGATTTTGGGTTTTGATTGAGATTTTAACACCGGAATTGGTGTTCATATTTTAATTTCTTGCCTAAGCCTTGATTTCATTAACTAAATTAGCTTCTTATAGTTATATTTATGTTATGTAATTGCTTTTGGCTAGATAAGGGCCGTTCGAAGTCAGATATTCATGGAAAAGGCATTGTTACTGATTGATTCAGCTTGGTTCGAGGTAAGTGGCTTGCCTAATCTTGTGTGGGGGAACTACCCTTACGATTTGGTACTGTTGTGATATGCGAGCATCGTGTACGTGAGGTGACGAGTGCGTACACGGGCTATTTGTTGAAAAAATTGATTTTTATTTAGTAATAACATGTTTCATCTTAATTCAATTATACTAGTGTGTAGTTATCATGTTTATCCTAGAATAGCATGTCCACGTGTCTTGAACGCTTATCTGAACTCTTTGAAGCATGCTTAATGGATTTCCTGCTTCTTCCTTGACTTGTACTTAGTCTAAACTGTAGGATTTCGTGTTGTAACTGTTATTTCCATTGTTTTGAGTTGTGTATTTACTTTGGGACTACGGGACGACATCCTCGGAGATCCCCCTGCATATTTACTTTGGGACTATGGGACGGTATCTTGGAGGTCCTCCTGCACATTTACTTTTGATACTACGAGGCGACACCTCGGATGTTCTCCCTATACATTTACTTTTGGGACTACGAGACGGTATCTCGGAGATTCCTCGTTATTTATCTTTGTGTGTTGTACTGTTACTTCTCTGTGGATTTCTTTTCGCTTAATTCCAGTCTTTTATTACATTACAATATTTTCTTTGCCTTAATTATTTTATGTACACCAGTGGGCCCTGAGCTAACCTCGTCACTACTCGATCGAGGTTAGGATTGGCACCTACTGGGTACCATTGTGCTATACTCATGCTACTCTTCTGCACATGATTTCGTATGCAGATCCAAGTACCTCTTACCAGCCCCGCTATTAGTTGCATATTTGTTGCTGCTCCGGAGACTTCAAGGTACATCTGCCCGCGTCCGTAAACCTCGGAGTCCCCCCCTATCCCTTTATTGTTGTTCTTCCTTAACTTCTTCTAGATATTGATGTATATAAACAGTTAGACAAATTCTTAGAAGGTTTGCGACTTATGATGCTTCGGGTTTTGGGAGAAATTTGTGTATATTTCGAGAGTTGGTTATTATATATGCCGAGCAACATTTCTACAGTTTTTTAATTACATGTTGCCGTTAGTTGATATGATTTATGCTTTCATTTTCATTGTTACGCAAATATTAGGCTTACCTAGTAGTAGAGACAAGGTGTCATCGTGACCTCTCACGGAGGGAAGATTGGGTCGTGACGCTATAATAGTCTTCCCAGTAGGTAGATCCACTACTTCCCATGTTTTGTTTTCCTCTAATGCCTCGATTTTCTGTTTCATAGCTTCAATCCATCTAGCATCTTTAACACCTTCCTTGATGGTTTGTAGCTCAACAAGTGATGAGAACTTAGCAAGATAGCACTAATATTTCACTGAGGTGTTTGCATAAGATAGGTAGTCTGATATGGGGTAAAGGCAATGTGCCCTTGGAGGACGTGTAACATAATCTTTCATCCAAATAGGCTGTTTGGACTCTCTAGTTGTCTTTCTTCTTTCCTCAACAACAGGAATGCTAGTCTCTGCTGTAGGAACTTAATCCAGATCTTGCTCCAACACTGCATCTTCAACACCTTGCTCATGCCCCAATTTCTCAATTATATCATCTTGTTCATGCTCGACTTTAATGAATGGATGTTCTTCTATCTCTGCAAATGCAGGTACTTGAATATGTTGCATACATGATGTGTGTGTTGTCTCTACTGGTGGCAAGGGATTATAAGCATACAAATGCCTTAGCACAACACTTGGAAGTACCACCTCTGCAGAAGATTTTTGTTTGAAAGAGAAAATTGTCTCTTTGAACACCACATCCCTTCTTACAAAAAACAGAATAGAAGACAAATCCAGTAATATGTAACCCTTTTGGGTTTCTGAAAAACCAAGAAGTACCGCTGCATTGGCCCTTTGTGCAAACCTGTCACCCTTGACCAACCTTGTAGCATAACACAAACAACCTAGAACTTAATGTGTCCAAGAGTTGGCTTCTGCTGATACAACATCCCATAAGGAACCTTACCATTCAAAAGTCTAGAAGGTAGCTTATTTATCAAATAGACTGCTACTTGCACACACATACCCTAGTACCTTATAGGAATACTTGCCTGAAACCTTAAGGCCCTTGCCATATCTAGGATATGCTTGTGCTTTCTTTCCACAACACTATTCTGTTGTGGAGTATATGGGCAACTGCTCTGGCGTATTATCCCAAAATCATGTAACAATGTATCATATTTAGAGTTAAGGAACTCTGTTCCATTGTCGGATCTTATCACTTTAATCATAGTTCCAAACTTATTTTTAACCATTATTGAGAACTACTTTAGAATAAATATAATTTCAGACTTTAATTGAAAAAGATAAATCCATGTGTATCTAGTATGTCATCCACAACAGTAAAGAAGTTATGCTTTATTTCGTAAGTAGGCACTTTATAAGGTCCCCAAAGTTGTAGATGTACAAGATTGAATGGCAAATCAGCTCTAGAACTACAGATTGGGAATTATAATCTAGACTGCTTTGCTAGTGGACATACACGACAGTCATTTTGTATAGTACTACTAACTTTATTCCGTAAATCTGCTATATGATTCATAATTGTAACAGATGGGTGGCACAACCTCATGTGCCATAGATTTCCTTCTTCACATTAAGGAAATTGTTTCTTTCCTTTAATTCCTTGTACTCTTCCAGCTTGCGTTGCTATAGGATCCATTTAATCTGATAGAACAGTAGCTCCAACAGATTGTAGGCTTTCATCTTGAATTGACATCGCATAAGCTTGATTGAGATTAGGCGTATTAGTCTTCATAAGCATGTGTCACCTTGATTGATCGTATGAATCATTGAGGCTGCTCAGCAACTGCATAACTCTTTGTTGATGCATTCGTTCCACATAATCTCTTGATTTTGGACAGCCATAATCAGAAAAAGGCACCAATACATCATATTCATGCCAAAGTTCCTTTAATCGTGGAAAATATACCTAAACAAAGTTAGTGCCCAGTGACAAGGTCGCAATTTCCCTGTGTAATTGAAATATTCGCACTCGATTGACTTTGTCAAATTTCTCTATGCATGTCTTCCCAAACGAGGTGAGTATCTGATGCATAGACAATTCCTCTAAGGAGTTCTGACGCAACGTTGTTCATTATCCATGAAAGAACAATCGCATTACATATTTCCCATTGCTCCAGCAAGTCACATGTGTACGAGTCTCTCTTACACTTTCCTGTGACGAAACCTAACTTCTTCTTCCCCATAAGTGCAATCTCTATTGGCCTGCTCCATAGACCATAATTCTCTGATCCTGTGAGCTTAACTGGAACAATTACTGAACTAGGAGTGTCCGGCGGACCAATATACAGAGGGTGAGTATGGTCCATCACAGTTTCTGCCGCTGACGAAGAATCGCCCATTGTTGAAGAGAACAAGCTTCGAAATTACTGTGAATAGATAAAGGAGAGAACAAATCGAATCAGAGATTAGATCGCGTGAGATTCCAGTATCTCCCACTCTGGTACCATGAAGAGACTTGCTTAACAGCTGAGAAGCTCGATTGATTAACAATGGCGGAAGTTTCTAGAGAGAAGGGGAGACTATTTTCTAAGAAAGGAAAAATGACATCTACCGTTATTATTGAGCATTTGTGCATTTATATAAACTAACACGTGCACTAACAGTACTAATAACCCATTTCGGAAAAATTTGGCCCAATTCGGAAAAAGCCCATAATTCCAAAGCCCACCTTGACCCTAATAAAAAAGACTCCTTCTTCTTAACCAAAAACCCTAGACCTAAGAGCGCCCTGCCGTTCTTTCTTCTAGAGACACCAAACAACACCCCTTGACTTAAAAGATCAGCTCATCTTCCACCCTAAGCCATCAGCGAAAACTCCTCCATTCCAACACCTTCAGAGATCTCCAGCCGTCACCCAAACAACACCACTCATCTTCATCTCCTTCGCCTCAAAAACCCTAGTAACCTAACACAACACCTTAGAACCCTAATCCCACTCCACTGCCAGAACACCCTTCAGCCGCCGCCGTCAGCCCTTCTCCAACTCTAAGACAAACCAGCGACAGACCCTAACCTTCAGTCATCTTCTCCAGAAACAACCACCCCGATCACCACTTCTTCTTCACCCCTCTTCAACTCAAACCCAACCAGGGACCCCATCTCCAGAACTCACGGCCGTCGCTCCTCTCAACCAAAAACCAGCTGCAAACCACCCTCTACCCCGCTGTCGCCGACCTCACCCCATCACCCATCGCCACTTCTTCTTCTTTGCTTCTCCACCCTTCAACTCCAGCCACAGATACACAGAGAAAATAAAGGGGAAACGGATGAAGGAACAAGAGTGAACAGGACTTCACACACACACATGCAGATACACAGAGAAAGAAGACGGGGTTTTTTGGTGTCTGAATTTTTCCTTTTCTGTTTTAATTTCTTAGTTTAGATATAAATAATTAGCTCTATTAGATTTCACAATCAAAAAAATACAAACAAAAACTTTGGTTTCTTCTGTTTATTTCGATTTCAAAGATGGAGTTGGTATGAAGTATTTGATTCGGAGTTCTGTCTAAAATTCGAATCTGCCGACGAGATCATTTCTGCTTCTTCATTTGTTTTCTGATTTTTTGTTTTCGAGTATGAGAACAGAGTTAAGTCGAGGTTGATTTGCGTTCATCGCCGATGATAAATTTCCGATGTCGATTCGAGTTCCCATCCGTGATTCGTCATATTCTCGAGTTCAAAATCGTGAATCAATCAAATTTCAGATTTACTTGAGGTTTATTTCTCCCTCTCTCTTACTATCTTGGTTTAATTTAAGGCTTCTGTAATTTATTAATCTATTTTGATTTGTATCTTTTGATTTAATATTTCATTTCTCTGCTCATGATTCCTTAGCAGTATTTGGTTGTTGTTTTGTTCTTTTTGTTATTGTTTGTCTGTTTCTTTCGTTCAATCTATATTGGGATGGTGTTAATTGCTGGAATTAGTTTGTAGTTCCCTGTCATGTTGCTCAATTAATGATAAATGTTCCATGCTTCAAATTTTGATGATAAGAATTAGATTAAGATAATTAGGTAATTTGATCGGCATCCTCGCTGTTTTGGACATGGGGACTGAACATCCAGGATAAAAAATTGAATTTATCATGTTAGTTGTTTACTTTACTTGCTCGAACCGCTAGGAACATGCTTAGGCAGACCACACTTGGGTAGGAAAGCTTTAGGATTTTGTTAGTTTTGAGACGAGAGGTCGTTCCCTTAGTTAAATTTATCCGGGGAATGCACTGAAGGATTTTTATATATTTTATCTGGGGTATGCCCCGTAGTATCATGCATTTGGAGGCCATGACGAACTTCGTGGAAAAGCATAGTATATATTAGTATTTAGGATTTAACTTTTATTTTCTTATTTTGTTTCTTCTAGTTAGGTGGAGACGACCTCGAGCCTCTAGTGAGTTTATTTTTGTTTTCTATGGTTTTACCTCAATTTGAATATTTTAAAAGCCAACGTGATCATGTACGCAACCGTACTAGTTACGGGACTTGAGGAGTGCTTAACACCTTCTCCCCGAGTCAAATGAACCCCCTTACCTACAACTCTGGTGCAAACTTAGTTTTGGAGTCCAAATTGTTGCAAAAGGAAAAATCATTTTTTTAAAACAGTGACCTGGCACACGAAACCAATGTCAGGTGGCGACTCTGAAAAATCCTTTTGAACACAATTGTGTCACTTTTCAAATTTGAAAAATCTTTTGAGCTTTACAAATCTTTTTATTATTTATTAGAGGGTTAGTGAGGTTAAAAAAAAGGGGTGGGACAGCTTTGGCGATTCTGCTGGGGACTTGCAGGTTCGAGCTGGTACTTGATCTTGTTGGCTTTTAGGATATTCGGTTGAGGTGTTTGTTTTCTTTATTTGCTTTGTTTATTTGGTTTGCTTGTCTTATTTGATGTTTTGTTGGTTATTTGTTCATCCCTTTTCCTTATGTGTTTACCACTTTATAAATGTCAGCATTTGCATAACCATGGGTCTTTTTTCTGCAACAAGTCTTCCGGAGTACGTTTGAGCGTACACGGCCTTTTTGTGAGTCACCCGTGTCTTTAGGGGGGTGGCGTGGGAGTGTGGAGTGGGCGGACAGCTAGAGCAGCCGCCATCGACCAGGTGCCGCCCCGAATTGGCTTGTTAGTGAACCCCAAACTTAGGTCAGTCTTTAGGTCATGCTTATTTGCATCATGTCATTTACACTTAGCAGGGCTCGGTCCCAGGTACCGTGTTCCTTTGTAGGAGGCCTATCCAAATTTTGTCATAATGGGCCCCTGGCCAAAAAGGACATTCAATCATCCCTGGGTGATACATGTTGCATCTTTTAGGGTAAAAAGATTTTACATGTTTCATCATTTTTTAAATAAAAAGGTCAAAAAATATGTTTTCTCTAAATCACTATTTTGTTTAATTCTCTGTCGTATCCAATCTTCCCGAACTACGCATACCTGATTCTCTTCTTTCGGGGCAGGATACGTAGGCAGCCCACATAGGGTCTGGTCTTCCTAGTAAGTCTTAGGTTCTTGGCTTCCGGGGTCGTAGCAAAATCTTGCATGTTTAGCCACATTTGGCCATATTGGCCGTTTTGCAAAATATGGCTATTTTCTCAAAGTTGTTTGTTATCTCATGTCTTAGAGCCCTGAGTCTACAACAAGGTGTCCTCTCAATTTTAAGGTTCCTTCCTGTTAAACTTGCATGTCTAGCCATTTTGGGGTCATTTTCGCAAAAGTGGTTCAATGACCCATGTCTTAGGATCTTGAGTCCACAACTAGGTGTCATATTACTTTAAGTTCCGTCCTTTATGAATTTGCATCTTTAGCCTCTTATGGCCATATCGGCAGTTTTGCAAAATGGGTCATTTTTACAAATTAATTTTGGGCCATGATTATTGGGAGTTTGAATCCATATAAGCCTTAGAGAGGTATTTACATGTCTTTGAGGTCACCTTTGTTGAGTTTGCACTTCTAGCCACTCTTGGCCACGTAGGTTAATTTTCAAAAAATAGCCCAATCATGTCTTGCATGTATCCAATAGGAGGTGTTGTGGCATCGCATAGTGTCTTGAGTCACTAACTCTATTTGGTCTTATTTTTCTCATTCAGGAATGGATCGATGTACCAGGACTCGAGCTTGACAGATACCCCAGGACCACTGTATTCAGGAGCTGCTTAAGGAGACTAATTATGTATTGAGTCTGTTTGTTTTTTATGTTGCCTTTTACTTTCTAGTCATGTTCGGTAGTACTGAGTCTTTTCGGTGGTGTCAGAGTCTGTCATAGTCAAGTTGTGTTTGTTGAGTTTTTCGCTACCGTGCTTTATGTTTTGCATTTTTGAAGAAAAAAAAAGAAAGAAAAACCAAAAAAAATTATAAATGAAAAATTCAAAAAGATTTTTATTTTTAGTTTATTTTGTCCATTACTTTTCAAGAACTACACTTGATCTGATTTGTGAGGGACATGATACGTAGGCAACCTACACAGGGTTTGATGAACGATCATTAAATAAAATAAAAAAGAAAAAGAAAAAAGAATGAAATTGTGGGATGTAAGAAATGAGAGGAAAGAAAAGAGTGATAATTAAAAAGAAAAGGAAGGAAGGAAAATGAGCAAGCCAAGAATTACTAGAAAAGAAAGAAAAGAAAAAATTGAAATGAACAAAATTGGAATGATGCGAAATGACCTTGTGACCCTCGAAGCCATTCTAGAACCGTTAACTGTGACTAGGGGCATTGCACGTAATGTGATATTTCTATCTCATAAATGCCCTAACGCTAACATGTTAGCTTTGTTTTGCTCATCTTTGTTACTTTCGCTGTTATCATAATAGAGGGTGGTTAGTTTGTGGCACTTTGGCGAGTCATCTGTACAACACAAGGTCAAAGAGCAAGGTAGACATGGCTAGCAAAGACTTGGGCACTATCACACCCCTTTTCTACCCCCGCAAAAGATAAATATATGTTGATTTGTGGGTTAAAGAGTTTTTCCAGTTAAAGTGACAAGTTTAAAATAGGGATTATTCTGTTTACAGAGTCGCCACTTGGAATTGATTTTTAGGTGTTCCAAGTCACCTTTTATTTAAATCCCTATTCAAAGGAAGATTTGACTCTTTTATATCGGTCTGTGAAAACAAAGTTCGGGTAAGGAATTCTGTTGACCGGGGAGAAGGTGTAAGGCATTCCCGGGGTCTCGTGGTTCTAGCACGTTTCGCTTTATTGACTTAAAACTTGGCTTGAATTAATTTTGAAGAAACTATGTTTTTTATTTGATTTTTCATGTTTTATCCTATCCACTTTTGTTTCTTGATTATTAGAAAAAATTAAAGAATACTTTGAATAATAATATATCATAACCACACTATACAAGC